TTTAGAAGTAATTTTACTATTAACTGCTCAACAGAAATGAGCTGTCTGGAGTCCTAAAATATACATATGTACTATTTAAAATGCATGCCTAAAAATGCTAAAACAAATCTAAAGCACTTAATCTACAAATTCAAAAGATTTGCTCTGCTTCTATTTTTCTGCAGAGTCAATACTTATTTGCATTACTTAAACATTATTGTTTCATTCCATTCAACTGAAGGAACTTGTTCATTCACTAACCAGTGAATGTTTAGTAGAAAGTAAACTGGTTTGGACCCACATTTTGTGCACATTTGAGATGCAGTGGTCCATTCTCCAGACATAATTTAGGATAAAATCACATATTTCTAATTTCATGCAAAGTCAATTGCAGAATCATAAACACATCTGGGAAATCAAAATTTAATTTTTATGTTAACAAATGCAGGGTGAGTTTTCTCTGTATTTCTAAAGTGAATCAGCTCCACCTAGTGTTGGTACAGAACAGAAAATAAAAGTTATGTTTAGATTCTAAATGGTAAAACGAGTATGATATCAGTTATGTTTATTTCAGATATATTATTATAACTGAAAAGTTAGTGGTCTATTATTCCTTTAACAATGAATAAGATATAGGTTTAATGTAACTACTTGAGAGCTAGTGTTTAGTTGAAATATATAGTGTGGTATCTCTAATCGTGAAAAGAACCAATTATTTAAAAAAAATAAAGTTATCCCTGTCTCTTCCCAGTTAATGATATCCCAGCTTTAAGCTGGTTTTAGAAAAGACTAAGAAATTCTGGATAATTGAGAAATTGAGGAAGGCAAAGAATCCCTAAAGAAGACACTACATGCTGCATTGATAGAAAGATCTTCGGTTATGTTGACCATGTCAAGTTGTGGACTTCCTGTTCAACATCTAAATTAAACTGCTTGGTGTGATTATCCATCTCCACTGGATGAGGTATCACCAATGCACTGATGATACCCAGTTATGCATCTCCATCTAGGTAAAGTGTAATTATATTGTAATTATGTTGTTTCTTCCTCTCATCACCTTTTTGATTTAATTATTTTTTCAAATTTTATTCTTTTTCTGTTTTATTTTATTAAATAAAACAGCAATGGAGTACTCAGTATCACTATACATCCTTCTGTACACATAGTTATTTTATTTCTAAGTAGTTTCTTCTGTATCTATTTGTCTACATAATTGTACTAGCAGATTACTCTTCCTGTAATCATTCTACTTTCTTCTAATTTGGTTCACTTCCTCCATGTCTTTTTGCTCCCAAAGATTCACTTTGCACACTTTCAAACAATGGTCTTCCTTCTCATCTTGGTTGTATTCTTTGCTAATTCTCTCAGTATTCTACCCAAAACAATCAAATAAATCATGCTTTTTGATTCATTCTCATCCATTTTATATATGATGTACACTCTAACCATCTATTTAAATAAACAGACTTTTTCTCTATGGAGGGATTTAAATAACTCAATGGATTTTTTTCCTATGTAAATTGCAAAAAGAACTAAATGTGCATGGATAATAACATGTTAAAAGGGACTTTTATGCTATCATTTTGTCAAAAGTCTACATATGTTTTTGATACATCCCTATTCAGAGTTCATGTGCTAGAAAATAGTTATTTGCTGTGTTGATCTCTTCATGAGTTGGATTATATTATCCATCTTCTGGATAACTTAAGACAGGATCAGGTAGAATTTCATTCTTGATAAAATGCTGGGTTTTGGAGTGGTGTCAAATAAAAACTGGGGTTTTTTCCCCTTACATTTAGAAAAAGAAATGGATGGTTTTAAATGGAATTGTATCCTTAGAATTTAAAAAAAAAAGTTCTTTGCAGTGGTATACTGTTGAAAGTCTTTGGGACCTCCAAATCTTAAATAAAATCACAGGACAAATGAGAGTGTAGTTAAACTATATTTTCTCCCATTTATTTCAATGGATGTTTCATGCTTCAAATTATATTCTGGCATATAAATGTGTTGTGGCCCAGCAGGATCCGGTTGAGCTGCTGATGGACTCGGATAGCGAGGAACCATATGAGTCTGNTGAGGCGTTCCTGTGACAGCTGCTTTTCGGTCTTGATTTTTGGCCATTTTTCACCCTCTGGAGATGCGTGACACACACACCCTCCCGCTTACCCTGTGCATGTGTAGGGGCCCAGCGGGGGGGGGGAGGGGGGATATTATGGAGGTGGGCATGCGAGCGTGCATGATGGCGCACGCACATGCTTTTGGCACCTGAGGCAAAAAAGGTTTGCCATCACTGGTCTAGGACGAAGCTAAGTATATACCTGCTTTTTCAGAGAAAGAGCTACCTCTTCCAAAGTTACTATTAGGTTATTAACAGACTGAAGACAGCATTCCCTATAATCCAATAGTGAATTCAATCTTATATATTTCATATAATATATGGGAAACATTGTTAAATCTTTGCAGATTGCTAAACAATGAAAGAAATGTAGCACTCTTTTACCACATCAGATCAAATTGTGCGATGTGTGAGCTTGTGTTTGCTTAGAAACTGGACTAGATTAATATCTGAAGATATAGGGGTTATCGCTACATACTTCTCTTTGGATGAAATGTTTCCACTTTTGCTGCCATGCTTGACAGTGAGACGGGCAGCATATAAATTTAATAACTAAATATGTATTCCTTGCCCTCTATCAGCAAAGTTTCAAGATGGACAATTGAAAAAAGGAGAGCAAAATAGGTGATCTGAGAAGGAAGGAGAAAGCATTTAGAATTTTTATTTAGTATTTAATTATTGGTTTGGGATTAAAAGTGAATATTTCCCAGCTAACAAGCCAGGATACTTCCCCATTCATTCAGAACAAATATAGATGGGGCAAATTCCACTCACTCTTTCAGATTCAGTAGGCTAGAGAGAATGAAGGCTTTCCAAACAGATACAGAAAAGAACTGCATTATCCTATTTCCAATATTTCCATTCCCCACCATCCAGTCAGAGCTGGAGAAGCTTCTTGAATTAGAAGCCAAACGTCTTCTAAGAAAAATGAGAAAGTCCAGCTGCTTCTTGAAAAAGCACCTTTCGGACAACCATGACCTGGATGACTGAGAATCTCCCTAGATATTATCTCCCATGCTGACATGCCACGCTATTCGTCGGGAAGAAAAGGGCCTAAGGGATAAATCAGTAAAGTTCCTAGATGGAGGCAAATGAAAAGCATTCCGTTGGGGAAATTGCAATTCCACACTTTCTGCGTTTCTAAAAGCAACAAAGAAGGTGGTCATTTCAAATAATTAATTCCTAAACCAACCCCCTGCCCTTCGGGATTCAGCACATGCACAGACTTCAGGCCTTAATCGATCGTAAAAGCGGGGAAGAAGCTCTTTCTCCTTACTCGGAACTGCTGGACAAAGACGGAGCGCAGGAATCGCCACTCTGAGTCGACTCACCGCCCTTAGACTCGTCATAATCCTCAGCCGACGGCTCTCGGGGAATCTCAAAAGGCCGGCGAGGCAGCGTCGTTTTCTCCATAACAAGGGGGGGGGGGGGGGTTTCCTCCGAGATCCCTACAAACTCTCTGCCGCCATGTAGCTGGAATCCGAAAAAAGAAGGACGTCACCCTCTGCCCTGTCTTGATTGGCAAAGGCTGGGGAAACCATGGCGACCAGAGAAGCGCTAAGAGACCTGACAAGGATACGCTCCGCCCGTTTCCAAAAAAACCCTGAAACTCCTAAAATAGGGCTTAAACACGTAACAGCCTTTTTCCTCCCTAATTCGCTTTGCATTTTGCCCAGATTTTTAATCACCTGGCCTGAGTTATATTGCATTCTTGGAATCTCAAAAATTTGCATATTGGTTTGTAAGTATTTAGCCTGATAAGCCACTCTATCTTTGATACTCTCCCTGCCCCCATGCTAAGAATTGCTGTGCAATAATATGCATATTAACTCAGAAGTAGTCCAAGGAATCAATTTCTTGGATAAGGGATTTCCACTGGATCAAGTGGATTTCCATAAGATATTTCTACTGGATCAAGTGAGATGGAAGATTACATTTTACTGGTTTAAATCAGTGTTTCAATTAATTAACTTCTCTGCTTTTGGGATATGGTCGTGGTGGTTTATCTTTGGATCAGTCTTGAACTTTAAATGCCTTTCTGACCTCCATTCTATGTTCATTGCACACGTCCCTTTGGATTAAAAAAAAGATTCCATACATTAAATCATATTTTATCTGCGATTATTCTTTATTATCTATCCCCAGAAACATTGAAAGTAACCATCCCCTCACACAAAGAGCTTGGACTTGCCTTCTGCAATTTGAAAATTGATGAATGGGGTGTTTTTCTACCTTTGGTACTGAATTTTGTTTTGCATTATTTATTATACTAAAACCATACTTTTTATCTTAATTTATGTAACTAGCAGCTCAAACATGGTCTTGATTAGAGCAGCATATTAGCCTTGTAAATCAATTGATCAATCAATCTCCAATTAATATTAACAGTGTAAATTAGAAATGTTTCCAAAGTGTTCACAGGTATAAATAGTGTTACATGCACGAAGGAATATGTACAAGTCTATCTTACTATGTGCTGTATCAGGATAAAAATTAAAATCCCAAAACCTGTCCACTAAACAATATTATGTGATACTTAGATAATAAAGCACTACTTTTTTCACCATCAGAAAGATAAACACTTTTATGGAAGAAACCTTTTATGTGGGAAGGTTAGTTGACAGTTTAAGATTTGTTACATCAATTTTGTGTGGAATTTTTAAAAAAATTCCTGGAATTAGTGAAATATAATCTGTAATATAAACCAACTCAGTTGCAAACTGTAAAGACAAAATCTGCATATACATCAACTTTCTCCAGTGTGGTATTGAAAAATTCCCATCGTTTACTTAGGGTGTGTTATCCCATACATCTGAGACTAATTGATGCAGATTAGCAGAGAAGAAATCTGGAGCACATCTGTTTTCATTCAGAATCTCCTCCTTTCATAAATTTTCATCTTTACCTGTGTAGCAGGATGCTCTGCACCGAGTCCAGGTCTTCTAAATTCCGAGTTACCGGCCTGGGGATTCTCTGCTTCGTATCGCGGAACATGGCGCTGAAGAAGTTACCTGTCTCCAAAACGGTGTCCGCAGTATTCATCAAGTTTCACGTAGGATCTTGCAGATCATTCCCCTAGGCAAAAAATAACAGCTAAGGGAAGGAGGAGTATGGAAATCGAAAGCTATAATGCTTAACAGCTCCTGCCGGCTGCCGGGAGAGTTAGAGAAAAACTATGCTTCGGTGTACGGAGCCTCTGGTGAGCGCCGCCTCCTTTAAAAAGTCTCGATTTAACTCTTTTTCTTGAGGATGTCAGACTCTCTGTAAGCACGAAAAAAGCTTAAGCTTCGGCGCTCACACAGAAACTCTTCTGCGGATGAAAGAATGTCCGTTGCTCTAGCTCAGTTTTTCTGAACCTTGGCAACTTTAAGACGCGTGGACTTCAACTCCCAGAATACCCCAGCTAGCGAGGCTGGCTGGGGAATTTTGGAATTGAAGTCGACCCGTTTTAAAATTGCCAATATTCAGAAATACTGCCTCTAAAAAACAGCTCTGTCCTTCTTGTATTATTCTCCTGGGTCTTAAAGACTTCCCAAACCTTGTTAACTTAGTACCTAGGTCCTTAGGGATTAAGGGGAAATCATCCTGGTGATCCCCCNAAGAAGAGCTAGCTTGATTTTTAGCATGCTAATATACCCAGTATTCTCCTCCCCAAAGAGACAACTTTAAATCTACCCATTGGTTCATGGAACACTATACTCTGTTATCAAGAGAAAATGATGGGAGTTCAGAAGGTTAGCATTTTGCTAGGTAAGGAATGGTAGAAGGCCACACCAAATCCTCAAGAAAGCAAAGTCAGTAAAATCAACTCTCTCCTCAGCCCATCTGTCAATGTCTCAGGAATATGTGCCAGCTCAGCCCCTTGTCCACAATCAAGCCATGGAGGACTCTTGATTTATTATAGAATGACTTGGCATTTAAGCACAGCATCAGCAGACTGGAGGGCAGGCTGATAAGGCTAACCTACACTTTGAGTGAAGGGTAAATGTGAAAGCACTATCATTAGTAAAGCTTATCGGAGCCTGTAACATATTTTTGTACTGGCCATTTAAAAAAAAACTCAGATATATGAGTTATCTTATGTTGTGCGATTAGGTCTAGAGTAATTAAGTATAGAAAGAGCCCAAGATGCTGTAATAATTAATGTTGGACTAAGATTCCAATTTTCTTCAAACTTGCTGAGCAATCTTTGGCCGCTTGCTGTTTCTTAGCCTGACCTACAGAATTGCAGTGAGAGTGGAGTGATGTGGAAGAGCATCATCTAAGTCATCATCATTATTTAGCATCATCATTATTTAGCAGCCAGGCTGACCAAGACATCTGTTGCCTAAGACCAAGTATGCTTATTCCACAGAGAGAAGCGAAACTGGACTGGGAATTAAATGTTACCGTCAATCGTTTTTGTTGTACACTGCCTGGAGTCACTTGTTTGATGAGATAGGCAGCTTTATAAAATGGACAGATAAGTAAGTAAATGAATAAATAAATCATCCATCCTAGCATTAACCATTGCACCAGTTACCTTAAGGAAAACACCGCATGGGGGATGACACATGTGGGATCTGATGTTGGATCGCCCTCCAAGAGTAGACCCTTCCTTCTGACCTCCAAGGAAAAAAAATGGTCAACCCCAAGGTCTTGGGACAGCATCCCAGGAATCATTGCACTGAATCCAAAGTTTTAAAGCAGTTACAAGAGAGTTTATTATTAAATCAAAGTCAGCATATATGAAAAAATACAATCCATTTATCCCACATAAGGCACACTGTAGTATGAAGTCCCACAATTCATCAAGATGTCTCAGAGTGCAAGATTTAACCTTTGGATCTTTGATTTAGCTGACAGCTCTCTAAAAATTCATGCAGTGAGATAGTTCCCATTCTACAGAGCTGTTCAAAATTTATGCCAGAATTCACTGAGCTGAAGAACAGCAGCAGCTACTATGAGCTAAATTGCCTCTGGATTTCAGTTTTTCCTAGGGCCAATGGGATTTGTTCTTTTAAGTTCCAGTTTTAAGCTTAGTTTTCTCTCTGTTTTTCATAAGTGTCTGGGATTGCCATATTTAAAGAGTGGTAGTTTCAAATGAAATATTATTTCCTCCCCTCAAATTATTTGTCCGTATCTAGCTGTACCAATCTGCTCTTGTCAGTAGGTAGTTCAAAATAGCAGTTGAAAAAGATCAGATGAGCCAGAGGCCATGCTGGCTGGGAATTTTGGACATGGTAGTCTTAATGTAACTAGAGAGACATGTGTTCAGAAAGATTAACTCAGAATCTATGTTACATGTATGCAAGGTTTGGCTTTAATCTTTGGATACTTCTCAGAATCATTGCCTATCATGAGATAGGAAACTATATAGAATGTATAAACAAACAATAATTATGTCAATACAAGATTAATTCATAACAAATCACATTTTCACTGTGATTATTTCACTATAATCACAGTGAAAATGNATCTGGTCTTAGGAAAATAATGAAGCACTTGGGGATGAAGATGCAGCCCAGAAGTCCTGCATTGGAGGCCAAGATGGAGAAGACCTGCACAGCCACCATGTACTTTCCTTAGGTACTCAGGTAGGTGGGCAGGAAGGACACCCAGACACTGCAGAAGATCAGCATGCTGAAGGTGATCAGTTTCGCTTCATTGAAAGACCCAGGCAGATTCCTGGCCAGGAAAGCCACTGTGAAGCAGATGGCAGCCAGGAAGCCCATGTAGCCAAGGGCACCATAGAACATGGCGACAGAGCCTTCATTGCACTGCAGAATGATTTCTTCGGATTGTGAGTGCATGTCAGTCTCAGGGAAAGGGGGAAAAGCACCCAACCAAATGCTGCAGAAGATAACTTGGAGACCAGAGCAAGAAAGGATGATGTAGTTGGCCAAAGTTTTTCCCAGCCATCTCTGCACTTGATTCCCTGGTTTTGTGGCCAAGAAAGCCAGCACCACTGTGATGGTTTTGGCCAAGACAGAAGAAATGGCAGCTGAGAAGACGATGCTGAAGGCTGTTTGTTGAAGAAGGCATGTGGCTCTCCTTGGCTGACCAATGAACAAGAAGGGGGTGAAGAAAGAAAACAGGAGACAAACAAGAAGGATATAAGAGAGGTCCCGATTATTGGCTTTGACTATGGGAGTTTCTTGGAATTTAATGAATATTCCCAAAACAAAGCATGTGGTTAAAGAGAGGAACAAGGCAATGGAAGTTAATATGATCCCCAGGTTTTCTTGATAGGATAGGAATGTCTTAATCTTTGGGATACAATGATCTCGGTTGTTGTTTGAATGTTGATCTGCTGGACATTTGCTGCATTTTTCTGCATCTGAAAAAAGAGTAACATTGACCTTCAAGCTTGTTCTACTTTTTATAACGGTAACCTCCCCTATTGGAATGTTGGCTGAGCTGCCAGCTGTTGAGCAAAAGTTGGAACCTTCGTCTCAGTACTCCCTTCCAAATTATATTCTTCTGAAAGGGTATCTAATGAAACAAGCTATTCCTCTTCCACATATAGACAACATGTTGTTGAAACTAATATTTTTTTTGAAATTCCCAGATTTAATCCTGGGGCTGCAATTTTATTGTTTGGTCTTTGGCCATCCCTATTGGTAGCTTTCCCTGCTTTTTTGCCCATCTCATCCATGACTAGAGAGCAAGGTACCATCACTTCCCTTTGGACATGCATTGTGAAGGCTAATGCTTCCTCCAGTCACTCCATGAAGTGGGGAACAAATAAACAAGCAACAGGTAACATTTTATCTCCACACTGCTGTCCCTGTTTTTTTTAAATAAAAGATTCAGCCTGTGTATCAGTGTATCAAGAGAAAATGGAAGAGTCAGATGATCCTAATTTTATTGGAGAAGAACAAACAAATGAACAAAGCAAAACCCAGAGGTTCACTGCTACACTGGAAAGGCAGCCAAGCAGCATACAATGAAAGGACCTGTCTGATTTAAGAGTTACCCTTGTTGGAAAATGTCCAGTGAAACAGGCAGATGGAATCAAGAGGAAAATTAACAATGAGTTATTATGCAGCCGTGNGAGTCTATCAGACTTCATTTCATTGACTTTGCACCAGTAGTTATATGCTCTAATTTTTGCATAGTGCATGAATTGTATGAATTCCCAATTCAGCTTTAACTACTGTGGCAGATGTTCTTGGATATACATTCAAAATACATCACAAATGCTGGGACTGTGTTTGTTCTAGGACTGTGGTTGAGTATACACCCCAAACATCTGCTCCATACAAGTGCATAGGGGTAATCTTAGCTTTATATACTTTAATTAATGGTGCTAGGGAGTAAGCGTTCAGATTCTGGTTAATGTCAGGGTTCCAAATAGCATCCAAAATTAAATCAGAATCCAAGGCAAAAGATTCCTCAAAGTTCCAATTTATCAAAAGAACCATGTTGGCACATCTAGGAAAACCCAAATCTGAAAGCTCAAAGAGTCAAAGATGACCTTGAGTTTCTAAGAAGAATGTTATTATGGCTACACATCACCCAACTCCATATAATCCCCCCTCCCATTTTCCCACAACAGAAAGTAGACAGTAGCAAGTGTGGCAGACTTGAAGTCCAAAAGAAAAAAAATGGCTTGCAGGCATGATAGGTAGATTAAAAGTGTCTTGCAAATCTGAAAGTTCAATTCTCTTGCCATCATCTTTACAGTCTGAGAACCAAGGAACAGTCCATTAGGAACATCTTGCTCCAAGAAACATGCAGCTGCGTGCCATGCTGCCTCTTATTTGACCATTCCCAGCATCTCTTTGCATTATCTCCCAAGGTCATTTGACATACCATTATGTGCTCCAGGATGTCAACATGTTAGTCTGGAATGTAGAGACAAACTGAGTTACCTACTGGCATAACAACTGTCTGACGGTATCCTTTCTCAGGCTTCTGGAGTTGTTTCTACAGGGGAACTTCATAAGGAGATCTGATAAAGACCAGGAGTTTGTGGCCTCCCTTACAGCTATGAGTTTCTCTCATGAAATCTCAGGCCAGACACNCTCCCTCCCTCCCTCCCTCCCTAACATACATTAAAGAAGGCTTATGGCCTATACCTGTGATGGCGACCCTATGGCATGTGTGTGCTGGCCAGATGATTTTCGGCCTTGATTTTTGCCCATTTTTCGTCCTCTGGAGACTTCCCTAGAGCCTCTGGAGGGCGAAAAACTGCCAATGTGCATACCGGTAGTTCAGAAACGGACTTCCAGTTTGCACATTAGGCATT